CGGCTTCTAATGTGGGTGTGTGGTGTGGGGGGGGGGGTCGGTTGGACCCCCTCCCCCCTTGCCGTTTGGCCCCTGATTGAGGCTATAGCTTCGCGGAAAAAACGAGCGTGCTGCCCGTGTCGAGAGGAAGCCGATGATACCCCAATTTAAGGTTCTAGGTCATTGGTTGACCTTCCAGGTCAGATCAATGACCCAAAAGTCGGGAAAACCGGGACCTGTTTGAAAGTCTTAAAGTGTGGCTGCTAAGAGGTTTTTTCGGGTGCTGATCACGAATATCGTGTTAGTTTTGATCACAGATGATGTCATTAAGCATTTAGACTAGGTCGGGTCAGGTCAGTCAGCATTCGTAGTACGTGTCAACCGCCTCTGGCAGCTTCGTAACATGTTACGAAGGCACCAAACTACTTCGTTAATGTTCAAATAGTTTCTAAATTCGAATTCAGCTCCAAAAACTAGCTTAGAAACATGTAAAGCGCAAAAGTGAATCGAGGTCACCAAAGTCAATGACCTGACCTGACCTTCAGGTGACCTTGACATCCACCCAAATGCATGGGAGCAGCATCAAATCACATGTTTGAACGTTTGAGACCACGAGAAGCTTGCATGCAAGCTTTCTTTATGCGGATAGAAACGGAGAAAGCAACAGTAGAAACACATATTAGACAACGTTTTAAAGAAGGGCTTTTCTTCTTTTTGACCTTGTCACTATCCACAATGAGATCGTGGTCTCATTTCACTGATCGACCCTTGTCAACGCACATTTTTGACACACAAAGTCGTTTTATTCTACTCTTACGGTAGAGCGAGACATTTAGAACGATGAATCACAAGCCAGCGATACCAGTTTTCCATTCATCACCAAAGTGTCTCACCTGTCGAAGCGAGACATCATCTCAAGCCTGTGTCGCGCACAGTAGGTACCCGTTGCTCGGGATTAGTCAGCAGTGTCAGAGCATCAGTGCATACTGCATATGCATCTGCAGTGCCAGCACCGTGGCGGCAGCCTAGGTGTGGTAGTTCTGGCTGCAGTGGTTATGCAGTCGTACTTGGCAGATGCTACACATTGTACGCGTTTTTTTTTTTTTTGACACAGCTTGCAGCGGCCTTGAGTGGCAGCCGGGACGATGAAGTGGTTTTGTGCAGTTCGGGAGACCACCGTCACCCGGCCGCTGCTGGGTCCTGGTCCGCTGCCGGTGACGTTTGGCGGACATGGCTCTTGTCTCGGGTTTTTTAGGAGCTCCAGAGCGACCTCGCGAGTGAACACCAGCTGGTCCACACTTCTCTCGGTGCAGCTGCGGTACATGCGCCAGCTGGCTACTCTCAGTAGACCGAATGCGTTGGTGACGAGCGTGCCGTACCATTTCTTCCACCGGATCACAGGCCTGTAAGCCGCCACCCGCTCCGTCCACTAGGTCTACGCCACCCATGTACAGGTTATATTCGTATATGAGGTTCGGCTGCTTGACCGTCACCTTCTTCTTTTCGTCACCCGACCAGCGTTGCACGTCTTTGAGTGGGCTGATGTCCGAGTGATTTGTGACCACTGTCACTGCCCTGTTGTCTCTCTCCACTTCACGGCCAGCACCCCGTTAGTGGATTGGTACCAATGCTGTCCCCTGGGCACCTTTTCAGCAGTTTTGTTGTCAGGCAGGGGACACTTCTTCAGCCTGTTGTCGCGCACAGTGCCCGTTGCTCGGATGCCTCTTTGACGGAGAGCTATCTATCATCAAGGCATACGACGAGAAGTAGTTGTCAAAGAACACATGGTGCTGGGCAGGCGTCTGAAGACATTTACGGTGGCAGCTGATCGCCACCTTCCGGTGGCAGTATTACCAAGTCCAGCCCTTCATCGTGGTCATCACTGGCAACAGCAGCGATTGCCTCACTCAGCAGGCGCACAGATCTACGCGCCATGGTCAGGAGGATAAGTCACCACCCGTCACCTCTGCCGTGCATCACTCCCCGAACGCACTTGGCAGACTGAGAGCTTCTGTCTCGGGCACCCGAGGTGTGTTGAGTGTCGATACCAACGACCCTACTCCATTCGCTGACATTGGCGCCGACGGATGACACTGCTGGACGAGACGACGCTCTATCATCCAGCATCAGTAACGTGAGTGATACGGTCCTTGACACACCCGGGTGTAGACCTAGCGTGAGAGCAGAACCACCAGAGAGGATGCAAATTGATTCAGTGGAAATTGAGAACAAGTGAGAGTGAGAGAAAGAAGGATGGAGAGAAGAGAGAGAGAGAGAGAGAGAGAGAGGAGAGAGAGAGAGAGAGAGAGAGAGAAGAGAGAGAGGAGAGGAGAGAGAGGAGAGAGAGAGAGAGAGAGAGAGAAGAGAGAGAGATAGAGAGGAGAGAGAGAGAGAGAGAGAGAGAGAGAGAGGAGAGAGGAGAGATAGAGAGAGTAGAGAGAGAGAGAGAGAGAAGAGAGAGAGAGAGAGAGAGAGAGAGAGAGAGAGAGAGAGAGCGAGAGAGAGAGAGAGAGAGAGGAGAGAGAGAGAGAGAGGAGAGAGAGAGAGAGAGAGAGAGAGAGAGAGAGAGAGAGAGAGAGAGAGAGAGAGAGAGAGAGAGAGAGAGAGAGAGAGAGAGAGAGAGAGAGAGAGAGAGAGAGAGAGAGAGAGAGAGAGAGAGAGAGAGAGAGAGAGGGAGAGAGCGCGAGGAGAGAGAAAAAGAGCTTCGCTTTTGCCTTCCAATGTCAGTCCATTATGAGCTGACCTACCAGTGGATGTGCCCAATGTTCCCATTTGGGAACATCCAAATTTTGGAAGCCCCCGAAGCTTTTGTGGTGAAGCATTGCTTTTGATATTTCTCCCGTACAATTGGAACTTATTGTTGAAGCATTACTGGAAATTATAAGGAAATCTATCAAGAAATCGATTTTAAGGAAATTATTTTCTTGATGAAGGTACAGTGTAGCAAAAAAGGGCTATTTCGAAAATCAAGAGAGGTGCTTTATAAGGGTGAAGTTCGAGTTTTTTAGGCTGCTAAATTTTGTTCAGGGCTTCAGATACCAGAACCAATATTCATAATCGCTGTGCGATCCTAGGATCAGAGCCTAGAGCCAAAATTGTCGATGTTCCCAAATGGGAACATTGGGCACTAATGGGTTTTAAAGGTCACTTGGGTCAGAGTCATGAAATTTTCAGAGTAGGTGTGAAATTGATCAACTCGAGGGTACTGAAAGTTTCGTCGCGATCGGCCGCTTTTTACGCGAGTTATTCGCGAAATACCATGGGGGGGGTCCATCCGACCCCCCCCCCCCTGCACATGCGAGGGTTAAAGCACAATTGCTCGGTCAAAACACGGTCAAAACACGTCTTCATTTTAGTTCGTATCGCCAATCTGCAACTGCAGATGCCAGGTTGACTGAAAGGTTTGCGTTTGTTATGTTTTGATCCTGAATCATTAATTTTGTGTCGTCAGTTTTCATGTCCTACGATGTGCCGTAATCCCGAGTGCAACAACCGGACGCGCTTTTCGCTGGACCTGGAGAAGTCGCGGTTCGTCGACTACCAGAAGCTGCGCATTCAGGAGACTCAGGCCGAGCTGCCGCGCGGCTCCATACCAAGGAGGTGAGGCTCGACGGCAGCTCAGGTGACCGGGCTCATTGACTCATCGGGAAATCCATTCACAAGATGGTTTTAAGAATGGTTCTCAGTTGACGTGACAATCCAGAGTCCAGACCATGTTATCATTTTAGCTTGTAAATTTATGGTTGCAAATGCGCAAATGATTCCTTAGTCGATAATATGCTGCTAAAGCTAAATTTATCACTGGCTGGCAATAGCAAGCAATTATAAAAACGTTTGTCTGGTAGGGCTGGACACTGCTTTATTGACGTCCAACATTTAGCCTTTATGACCCAAAACACCAACAGACCCAGAGGAGTGAATGTATGCTCGTTCGATCATTGTTGGACATTAGTTGAGGTATACCGTCGCTGACGACCCTCCTCTCTGTGGCCGGCAGCGTTGACGTCATCGTGCGTGCCGAGGCGGTGGAGTCAGCTCAGGCTGGTGACCGCTGTGACCTGATCGGCACCCTGATCGTGGTGCCGGACGTGGCCTCCCTGGCCACACCGGGCGCCCGTGCCGAGACCTCTGCCAAAGTCAGAGGTCAGTGAGGCGTCATCGGTTCAGTCAGTTCTGTGGTGACTGTGAGAGTTGCGTGAGGTTCAGTAATGTTTTCTTGGCGTAGCTAACGCCTAGCTCACTAGTGACTAGAGCAAAGGGGAAAGTTATGGATGACCCGTCATGTCATGCCCTTGGCTAGAGGATAAATTTGGACATTTATTTTTAGATTCTCATGTTAAATTTTCTCAAACGCAAAGCAAGAACTATTCGACAGTATGTCAGGGACGACCAGTCCACGTTACAGCCATGCCCACGACGTGCTCGCATAGCGGATAATCCCTGACTGACTCGCTCGCCCCCCTCTCCGCTCCGCAGCGGACGAGTCGGAGGGCGTGCGCGGCCTGAAGGCGCTCGGTGTGCGCGAGCTCAACTACCGTACCGCCTTCCTCGCGTGCACGGTACAGCCGGCGTCCGGCAGCGGCTCCGGTGGCGAGCTGAAGGCCGATCAGCTGACCGCCGACGCCATCAAACACCAGATGACCGAGGCGGAGTGGAGCCGGGTGTACGAGATGAGCCGCGACCGCAACCTCTACCAGAACATCACATCCAGCCTCTTCCCCACCATCCACGGCAACGACGAGATCAAACGCGGTGGGTGCTCTGTCAGTGCTCAGTGCGGGGACGTCAAGGTGGAAATGGGTTCGCGCTTTCGTATCTACTTTTCATTGTGAGCATTGATACTCTGATCGTTTACTGATGTTTTGTGTTGAGTTGCTTTGATCTCCGCCGCATTGAATGGTATTTCGCAACGGTAAACTGACACTGTGATATCCGTGTCTAGGTATCCTTCTGATGCTGTTTGGTGGCGTTGGAAAGGCGACCGGCGATCACACCACGCTCCGTGGAGACATCAACATCTGCATAGTGGGAGACCCCAGCACGGCCAAGTCTCAGTTCCTCAAACAGGTGCGTGCAGTTAAATTGCATGCCCTGTCGATATAATTATTGCGATCATATTGACTGCAAAATGTAGCCTGTGCTTATTTTCGTCATGGGTATATATTCACTGTTAATTTCTTCTCATTACGTGACACTTGCACTATCCGTGTCCGTTTGAAGTCTGCACACGTCCCATTTTTGTTGTTCTGCAGGTGACTGATTTCTCCGCCCGAGCTGTGTATACGTCCGGCAAGGCGTCCTCGGCGGCTGGTCTGACGGCCGCCGTGGTTAAGGACGAGGAGTCACACGAGTTTGTCATCGAGGCCGGCGCGCTGATGCTGGCCGACAACGGCGTCTGCTGTATCGACGAGTTCGACAAGATGGACGTCAAGGACCAGGTGGCCATCCACGAGGCCATGGAGCAGCAGACCATCTCCATCACAAAGGTCCGTCAGGTTAAAGGAAATAGTTCACTTTCACGAAATTATTTTTTTTTTGCAACGATTTATGATTTTTTATGTTCAAAATAATCAGCAAAGAAAATAAAACATTTTTATAACAAAAGATTTTTTTTCTATATTTTGATACAGGAAGAACTTTTCAGTTTCTGTAAGGCACACGCGATCCAGTATGAAAAGAGCATGGGTCCCGAAAACTCTTCAGAAACAGAGAAATTATCGCAGCCACCGGCATTTGGGCGATCTGCTCGATCTGATAATGTTCCCCTGAATGTCCTAATTGATCAGTACGAGAATTTCTCTAGAGTTCTCGTAGATAATTTCTCTAGTTTATGAAGAATTTTCGGGACCCATGCTCTTTTCATACTGGATGGAAATATATGCAAGTCACACATCCTCAACGCAAGACACCTTTTTCGGGACGAGAAATATAATATCTTTGCCTAGGGTGATCGTTGGGCTGTAAAAGCTCCTGATTTATGCTCGTCTCAGCCCAAGCTACGGAACTGCTATTCCAGTTCAAAACCCATGTTACAAAGTGAACTATTTCCTTTAAGCGGCTCCGGCTCTGTAGGCAGAAAAGAGTGGCCGTGTTTGGGGTGTCTAGGAATAATCCTAACCTGACAGCTGAATGCTGTCCTGTCAGTAATCACCGCGGCTAGTATCCGAGGCGTATTTAGTTGTCAATTATTACTTGCCATGGTCATCCTGTGCCTAACTTTCCACTGAACAGTGGAAAGAGTACTTTCTTACTTTGCGCAGATATCTCTAATCCGTCCTGCATTTGTCATTTGTGTACTCCCTTGAGGCAAGCGGACGTTCCGGTTAATGAATTTATGTAGTTTGCTGACCGCCCGTGTCGTGTCTCCCCAGGCGGGAGTGAAGGCCACCCTGAACGCGCGCACCTCCATCCTGGCGGCGGCCAACCCGATCGGCGGCCGATACGACCGCACCAAGTCGCTGCGTCAGAACATCACTCTCTCGCCGCCAATCATGTCTCGGTTCGACCTGTTCTTCATCTTGGTCGACGAATGTAACGAGGTGGGTGTCTCAGCCCCTCAGTTGGTAATGTTTGTTAGCTAGTTCGATACCTAGTTTGTTTTCATGGTTTGAGTAGTGGAAGCTTGTATTATGACGTCAACGTCATTATGTACATACGCATGCACATTATGCACATGCATAATGTGAGGTACGGTATTTGTATTTGTTTATTTGATGAGCCGTGCAGTGGGTCATTTGGCATTTTCGCGTGCAAATCCGGAATGATTATACTTGAACCGTTGGAAGCTGATGATCGATCTCCTCGGTTACAGGTGACGGACTACGCGATCGCGCGGCGGATCGTCGACCTGCACAGTCGCAACGTGGAGTCGATCGAGAGGGTCTACTCGAGACAGGAGGTGGCCCGCTACATCACGTTCGCCCGCACCTTCAAGCCCAAACTCACCAAGGTATGTACTCTTATGTTTCCGCCACCGACTGCCTGCAAACTGGATCTTGTGTATGTCATGTTCCTTTTGATCATCAAGGTTCTGGGCTCAAGCTCCGAGCCTACGCACCGTTCTAGAGCCCTAATAAATCGCTTCTACTGCGCAGCTATCTGCGGCATAATAGAATGGTCGCAGAATCGGAAGGTGGTGCGTGAGAAAGTTTTTATCATAGACAACCGATCTCGTATCACGTATGATATAGTTTTGCGCCTGCCTCTTCACCTGACAAATCCTTGGGGTGCCGGATTAGATCACTGTTCTCCGTTTTGCTGACAGGAGGCCTGCGAGTTTCTGGTGGAGAACTACCAGCACCTACGGCAGAGGGACGCCTCCGGCTCCGCCCGCTCTGCCTGGCGCATCACCGTGCGACAGCTCGAGTCCATGATCCGACTCAGCGAGGCCATGGCCAGGCTCCACTGCTCAGACATGGTAAATAGGCAGAAATGACGGTGACCTGTGTGCTGTGATTTTTTGCCCTTCGCGCAGGTACGTGTCTAAGCTAGAATGGCTGAGATCTTGTCTTTTTAACCCGCGCCCGGCTGGGGGTCCTGGATTTCCACGCCCTGCTGGGGGGGGGGGGGGTGTTTGAACACCCCCCCCCCCTTGTAACTCGGCTCCTGGGCCACGTAGCGATACGCGGAAGGCGGCGTTCGAAAGAGCGTCAAAAATAATGACGAAATCACTTCGGTCATTTTTTTAGTCAGGTCAAAGGTCAGGTCACCAGAGGTCATTGAAGGCAAAATTTCGCCGATTTCCAGGTCGAATGTCGAAAATTTCCAAGAAGCCAACGCATAACTCGAGAACCAATAGAGCTACAGCGCCGCGGAAAAGCGCATTCGATAGCCCTATTAAAGCCCTTTCTGAATAATTCTCTCAGATTTGACCTAACGTCAACGGTTTTGCCTGCAGGGGGCAAAAACTGCAAAAATAGCCGATTTTTTTCGGAAACAGTTTTTCTGCAATAACTTTTGACTCAAGCCTTGTACGAGCTTACTTTTACCGGCATCGTGTTCCTCTCGTCAAGACGCATCGAATGAACTATAACTTGACCTTGAAAGGTCAACTTGAAAATTTGACCTCAGGTCAAGGTCATGACCTGACCGGAAAGGGTCATGTTGCATATCAGTCGATCCGTATCGTCGAGCTGAACACATCTAAGGCATTTTCATCGCTCTAGCATGCCTCTATCAAAAGTTATTTGCGAAAAACTGTTAGATACTATTCGTGACCTAAGATGACCTCAGGGCATAAACAAGGGTCACGGACAACATTTTCATGATCAGTGTGTCTAAACCACTTTTAATTCGGTGTTTGGGAGTGTTTATAATGTCTTTTGTCCAAAAGAGGCGCATTTCAATTTTCTCCCATTGACTTATAATGGGGAGGTCGCAAAATTGACCTGACCTTAGGTCATCGATATCAAAATTCTGAGATATAATTTTTTACATGCTATTGCTCTTAGCAATCGCTGAAAGTTTCAAAGCGATCGGTCACTCGGTGTAGCTATGACAGACATTGAAACTTTTTATGAGGTGAGGTCACTTCAAGTGACCTGGTGACCTGACCTTGAATGACCTTGGTCTGAAATTTTTACAACATGTGTAGAATCGATGTATGATAAGGTGTACCAAAAACGGCGGCGCTCCGCGCCGCCGTTTTTGAGATATTCGCGAAAAACCACAAGGGGGGGGGGGTGTTCAAACACCCCCCCCCAGCAGGGCGCGGGTTAATGTCCAGTTGAGATGTTTGACTGGACGCATATTTTTTTTGTATATGTCCGACCGTTGCTCCTTTTGTTGACCCCAGGTTCAGCCGAAGCATGTGAAGGAGGCGTACCGGCTGTTGAACAAGTCCATCATCCGCGTGGAGCAGCCGGACGTGCACCTCGACGAGGAGGATGAGGATGAAGAGATGGCGGAGCAACCGGATGGGGCAGAGGCGGCTCCCGTCGCCGACGAGCAGCCGACCGTCAACGGAAACGGTAAGGGCAAGAGATATGTATTTAGTCTGACCTTCAAAGCTGTCAGAGATACGAGCTGTGAGGGACAGAGGTGGGATCGAAAGGGCACCGACGACCTGTGCATTGTCTGACTCTGTGCGCCTGTTAATCCGAATTGACAATTTAAGCGGCGTCGGGTAGAAGGGCATTGTAGAGATTAATGACTGCGCGGCCGGCTGCAGCCGCGTGGCTTCGTGTGAATTTGTTCTTGTTTTCTCGCTTCGTCATGACCCTTTAGTCTTCACCCCTTGCCTCGCTATTCTTATCCCAAGTCTTCTCAGTACCTCTGTGACCGCCCGGCTACCCCTGCCTGGCTGATGGTCCTGGTGTTACATAAAGGGCTTGGAATCATTCAACCCGGCGACAGATGGCAATCGCCGGTGGAGACACGGTCCGATTTGGGAATTTTCCAAACACATTACCTACGCGTTTCGAGTTGAAGGTGGCCGGCCAGGTCAAATGACGGCGTATCTCTCCTCTCACAGGTCACTCGTCTCCATCCAGCGACCCGCAGAACGACCAGGAAAATATCCGGCCCACCGAACAGAAGAAGAAACTGCGGCTCACCTACGATGAGTACAAAACCATGTCAAATCTCATCGTGTACTTCATGCGCAAGAAAGAGGCAGAATTCGAAGGTACGGTTCTTCCTTCTGTGGTGACCTTTCAACGCTTTCAGTGAATTATTCACTCTGGCCCGGCTAGGGGCACTTGCCACTCAGCTTTTTTATCAACTTTATCATTGTCATTTATGCATATTCTATGTTTAAAAAGAGGATAAATTTTGTACGTTGTAGCCGTGTACGAAAAGGTTCGCATGGTTTGCTTTCGTTTATGTAGTGTCCGGGCCCCCCGAAGAAATAGCAGTCTTGGTGCCTTTTTTACATTATCCATGCAATTTCCAAAATTTTATTTTTGTTTTAATGTTATGATACCATTGGGACATAACTAACCAAATGTGACTGATTCCACGATCCGCCCCGTTTGCAGAGGTTTCCGGCGAGGACGTGGGTGTGCGCCGCAGCGACGTCGTCGACTGGTACCTGCTTCAGAAGGAGGTGGAACTGGAGACGGAGGCGCAGCTCCTCGAGATGAAGGAGCTCGTGGAGAAGGTTCTGGACCGGCTCATCTATAAGGTGAGGAGAGTGAGCGCTGGGAGTCTGCGTCCGTATCAGGCTAATGATTTTTCCTTGGAAGTCAGGGCCTTTGTTTTATACTTGCTAGCTTTTATGTAAAATCGCCCATCAACGTCACGACATCGATTTTTGTGTAATCACTGTGTGATAATCTTTCTCATTTCTGAGGGATAGAGAAATTACGGGAAAATATTTCTTTGCTTTTTTTCCAGAGCTGATAATACAGCAGTTATTACATCGGATTTAATTACAACATGAATCCGGTTAAAGTTATGTTCCTCTGTCACCATACCTATCGACGATGTTATAGTTACTAAGCAATCACTATCTAATTTGTATCAGTCTTAGTTTTTATTCCACAACTCATTGATTGGGCATACGAATATTGATGGGGCATACGAATATTGATTGGGCATGATTGGCCTTACGAATATCAGCGTCCCAAGCAGCATGTCCGGCATCCCGTGCCCCTTCTGTGCTGACTCCGTCTGTATTTCCCGATCCGCAGGACCAGATCGTGATCCCGCTCACCCACACGGGCCTGAAGGGCGCCGGTCACGACGAGGACAACCCTCTGCTGGTGGTGCATCCCAACTACGTGGTCGACGAGTAGCCCGGCGCGCCGTCCGCGCGCTGTGTGAGTGGCTGACGATTCCCGACTCGGCCGCAGTCACGCTGTGTGCTGACCGGGACCCGGGCACGAGTCCGATCGATGATCTACAAACCTGATGACTTCCATTTATTAGCAGTCCTAACGAGGATATTCTACAGAAGTGGGATTGTGGGCTTGATAATCTCACCTTCGAATTACCAATGAAAAGTGAAGATCTCTTTGTGAAGAGTTCTTCGCGGCCTTCCAGCCGCGGTAAGGTGCCTTTTGCTGCTGTTAGTTCGCTGCTACCAGTCTTCGAGACAGAGTGGATGTTATTCCCACCGCTTTGCTCTTTGACTGCCAGTGAATTGCCATTGGCTGTCCCGCAAGTGATGTTAACAAGATACCTTGTTAAGCGTGTGCCAGGAGTCGTCTGAGCGGGCCTTTAGTGGGCGGTGCCGCGGGGCGTTATAGCGATTTACGCGTGTGTAGTTGGCTACTGCGGCCAGCTGCCAACTATTGGGTGCCTTTGCGCTGCCTTGTGAACGTACAAACAGCAGATTACGGTGATGCACCAGTTGTAAAAGGTGAATGAACCACTCGTGAGCGGCGGCTGCGGCGTTTGAAATAGTGTTCGTGGCGGTGGACACCGTGCCGCTTCAGTCGGGACTTCCATTTGTATTTCCGTATCAAGCTACATTCCGGCACTTTGTAAGAATTTGAATACATGCAGTCGTTTTTTGCTAGTCTGTTTCCCATAACGGCTTGCCATCGACCGAGTCTGAACAACAGTTTTTTCAGCTCGGTCGCATGCTAGGCTTAGATGCTGCTCAGTGCTCTCTGTTCCCGAATTTGATTGATCAGTTGTCTAGTTGAAATAGGACGATTGTAGAAATCTGACAGGACACATTGTATACGGAATTTTAGTGACAACTAATTTTACGTATGTTTTCGAATGGCGGGTCCCGATTTGAGTGCCCTTCGCCTTTTTCACAATGTTTTTTCCCTGTAGCCATCATCTTGTAACCAAGATTCTTACAGATAGTTGTTACCATCCTAGAATTCAGCAACTACCGGATGGACAGGGAAGAAAGTTGCGCCATTTTACTCGCCGCGTGTGATTTCATCTTATATTTCGACATCAGTGACCTTCAACGATCAACGACAAATGTTTTGTTTTGCTAACAACTTACAGCATTCTGAAATAGCCAATACAAGGCAAATAAAAACGAAAATGACACGATTTGATTCGTCGCACGTGATTCTAGCAGACTTATCGCTGCCTTACCTAATTTTAGGTGGAAACATAACATAACTTTAGGCCGACCCGTGGTCTAAATCAGTGACGGTCACCATATTGGCATGCACAGACCGTAAGGTCAGTTCGCTTAGGCGTCTGATGATAATCAAAGTATCTGATGGCATCGCAAATTGTAAATCGAATGATGTTGTTTTCAGCCAACTCGACGCGATTGGTATGTTTGGAATGGCAGTGAAATAGTGTTGCCCCGTTATCAATGGTTGCACTGTTTTTATTTTGTTGATAATAGATTGGAACGAGCGCGCCGTAGTTGCAAACATTTGTTTGCATTCGATGGCCTGTTCAAGGTTGGTTCAAGATGACCTGCTGCCAACACAGCTGACCAATCGGCATGAAAACAGAGAATAAGGAAGCGACAAACGACGTCATAAGCAGCAAACAAGAGTCAACCATTGGCTGCTTGTGGCAACTGTGACGTCATTTTATCTGACTCTGATTCCGTCAGTAGAAGCCTAAGAACACACTTTTTCGGCCAAAGTGGCAGGCGGGCGGCATATTTACGTCTGGACAACGAGTTGCGGGGAAAAGTGCTGATTGTGTTGCAGTTTTAGGAGCCGGTGATTAGGCTGGATTTTTTGGTTACTTTTTCGTACCGATTCATGTATTTCATAGTGTTTGGCTTTTGAATATTTTAGTTCTTTCAGATAAATATTACTTGCCTTACAACTTTTGTAAAAACGTTTCATTTTTTTATAAGCCGACGTTCAGAGTCCTAAAAATACATCAGCACTACAATCATTGTAAACAAACAAATGGAGCACCACTTGGCTCTGTTCCAAGGCCATTTTTTAGTTTATCTGGTGGTTTTCTTGCTCTTGTACGTCGTTTTGTTGGATAACGAGGCTTGAAATGATCTCACGCATGTCAAAGTGTTTTTATTTTAGGCAAAATAAATATCTAAAACAGTAAAACAAGCTTTCGGCTTGTTTTACTGTTTCATTTCAGTTCATGTTGTTTTCATCAGTACTGTTTCAGTTCATGTCAATGTTGTAGCGTACGTAATGATACATTGTTCTACATTATTTACTTGCCATGTGCAATGTACCACACTATTTGCAACGTATTGCAATACGTTTAAAAAAGTGAGCTGCTATGAGGATGCCTGGAACAATATGATTGTGCTCTAGCTTTTGAAAATCAAAAACATGTTAATTTATTCAAACTTGATGATGGCGTAATGCCGAAAGCTTGTTTTACTGTTTTAGATATTTATTTTGCCTAAAATAAAAACACTTTGACATGCGTGAGATCATTTCAAGCCTCGTTATATTAATAATAATCATGTCATCCATCCTCGCCCACATAAAAAGTTTTGTTGGATGTTTTGAATCCCTTAAGATTGACTTATATCATAATTAAGAAGCATGTTGATTGAAAACAATCTGAAGTATCCAGGAGGCTGACAGAGGTCCTGACTACTGAGCAATATCAATATCAAGTTGAACAAGTTATGAAATTTTGGTTGATAAACGCAAGTTGATCGGGCTCATATATCAGCAAGAAAAGGTAAAATTAAAAGAGCTTATTGTCCAAAAACAAGCTATAATATTGGAGACCTTGGAGCCATACTGAAGAGCACACTGAGCAGGATCATGCCAGAAAATGTTGACTGATGAGCGCATATTGATGTATTGGTATGAATATTGAATAATAACTTACAACAGCAAGATAAATTAGTGCTAACTATCAAGTTAAAATCTAGAATGAATGGACTTGGGCAGTTTTACTATGCTTAGATGCTATGCAGATTGTAATGTGCATCAGGTACTCAGTGTCTGGCAAATGAAACATGTGATCATTCCATTGCTACTGGAGGAGAAAGCTTGGATCACTAAATCCACTTTATGTTGATTTTGATGTTAATCATCATCACTGTATTTCTTGAAAAAAGGATTGTAGTAAAATTGTCAATGTGACAATCCATGCAGCGATGTGATCATATTATGTGTTCATAGTCATTCGTGATAGCCATTATTGGTCCAATATACAATGGCAAAGCTCTCAGTCTCAGCGTTTCTTCCTGTGGATGGCCAGCAGTGACTCCGAGCTTAGAAGTATTAGTTTTCTTCACAGGGCTGGGATAAAAAGTACTGAGGGTAATCTTCCACCAAGGAACTCTACTTTGACATGGTATGAGATGTAGGCACAAGTAGGTAGGTGCTCAGTTCCTTTCCTATAGTCAGTAGTTATGTATGTTTAGTTGGGTTAGCTTAGATCAGATTGCTAGTTTTTTAATTTGCCAAATGTCCAGAAAAATGTGACCTGAGCAATGAGCATACCCGAACCTGACTAACCTGACAAGTGACAGCTGACCTAACCTCAATCATCACACATATTTGCAGCCTACCCAAGACCTGAGGGTAATCTTCCACCAAGGAACTCTACTCACCAAGATGTACTCACCAACAGGTGAGTTAAACCTGCATGGCAGTAGCACCCAGTTATAGGTAGGTACTCACCCTAACTCAATCTTACCTGCTAACCTTCAACTTGCCAAAAGTTAGCTCACATTGCCAAGCTGTGTCCAGGGAAACAGAATGAGGACAGAGGAACTGGCTCATTGGGTGGCTGGTGTGAGTCTGTGCATTTTAAGTGTTTCTTCTCTGAAGCTACTCTGCACTGCTGTATGTCATGTTAGATGCTCAGAAAATGTGGGAAATGATTACTAAGCTACTTAAGTGCTTTATTAATGCTCGAGACATGAACAAGTACAGATCCTGCAGGGTACAGCTATGAGTTAGGTGCTAGGTGAGTATGTTATGTGAATGTGCTGTTCCCTGTTTGACCGTAAGTATACAAACAAGCACAGGGTCACAGTTATATTCAATCTCCACATAAACATACAACAAAAACGGCCATATAGCCTAACTCCGAACACACCACAGATAACTTAAGCCTTTGAAGGCACAAAAATGTTTTGATTAACAGGACAGGTTTACAATATATCCTCTGTCCTTGGGGGATCTTGCTGCCAAGTTGAGGTATGATGACTGAACTTCAGGATTGATCAACCTTTTCTTAGCCACTGCTTATACATATACGAGAAAGACCAAATGCTTGTTTGTTTTGATTTACAGGACATGTATACAATATATCCTCTGTCCTTGGGGGATCTTGCTGCCAAGTTGAGGTACGATGACTGAACTTCAGGATTGATCCACCTTTTCTTAGCCACTGCTTATAAACGAGAAAGACCAAATGCTTGTTTGTAAACTGCGTTGAAAATTTAATGATCCACCTTCAATTCTGACATGAAGGCACAAATGAAATAGTTCCCTCTCCTTTTGGAATACACAAAGCAAAATATTTAATAAATTTTAGTGGATGGACAAGAGCAATTAGCACAGCTTTCCCTCAAGTTAACTTCTGGCACTGTTGATGAATTACAGTGACGCTTATTCGCTTCATATTTTGTAACAAACGCGCTAAAACTGCAACATAACAGCACTATATGCTTCTTGACAAAATGCAATAGTATTAAAAATTTAGCCCTGATGGCATTCATTCTTGGTGGAAACGTAACTACAAAATATTTTGTAGTAACATTTAAATTCTGGCCGAAAACAGTGCACGGTTTAAAAAAGAATCATTCCAATGACGGTCCATTCTTGCGGTCCTGAAATCGCCACTATTTCCGGCCTCTCCAACGCAACTCGTTGTCCAGACGTAAATATGCAGGTGGGCGATGTCAACTTTTGACGCTAGTTATAGTACTTTTTAATTTTTAGTATTTCTTTCTGCTATGTGTGTGTTCAGTAGTACTATGGTATTTTGTTTGCATATAACATTTGTTAGGCGCTTTCAAAGAATGTATCGCAAGTATTTTCTTCTCATTTAGTGCCTGGCTGTTGCTATGAACGATACTTTCATGGTTATCATTTTACCTTGTCTCAGGTTAGGTATGCATCTTTTTGTGCATGCTTTTTCTGAGAGAGAAAAAAATAGTAGGTAGTGTATCTTTATGGTGATGTCCAAAAATGGTTATTTTTTGTTTCAGGTAATGTGAAAATGGCACTCCGGGCTGCACCACCACCTCCAAAACTAGCTCCGAAGCCTGGAAGTGTAAAGGTTTATAGAGCAATTTACAAGTACACTGCCCAAAGCGTAAGTTGATTTCTATTGTAAATGATAGCAACTCAACAATGATGGGGTCTCAGGGTAATGGCACCTGAGAATGAGATGTTCAGTGGCTGTTTTTGTTGTGGCCTCTGCTTGAGCTGAGGTATTCCATCCTCCTCTTGAGCTGCTGCACACAATCAGTATAAGGTGTATTCTGGGCATGAGTGTATCAACGCTAACGAGCCTGAGCTGGTCGGGCGCTGCCGCAAGACTGTTAAGCCAAGTGTGAATACACTCGTTCATTCATTTGTATGCTGGGCTTTACCAATTCTGAGGACAGCCTTAGAGGCCACAACAGTTTTTTTCTCAGTGCTCTGATAGTTTTCTAGCACATCTTGGTCTTCCATTGAAGATTTATGATCAGCAGATTTGCTATTCACCACTGAGCAGCTGAGGGAGAATTGCCAGCAAGTTTATTTTATATATGACATTTATGTCATATATATGACATATATATATATATGACATACATATATATATGACATATATATGACATTTTATGTCATTATAATGCATTGTCACTTGCCAGAGGGGTGTTCACGGGCACCGCACACTGCTGCGTGCGGTGTGTGCGGTGCATCCAGCAGGCGTGGGGGTAGGGGATGGGTAGGCGGTTCTGACGTCACGGCTGCGTGCGGTGGACGGTCCGCTGTGGCCAGTCCCGACCAGCGATCGCTGTGTGCGGTGACGGAAGGCAGACGTAGGGACGAAGTGGGCGGAGCTTCGAGGCTGTGTGCGGTCCGACCGCACACAGGGCCCGTGAACAGCCCTCAGTATGCTGAAAAAACAGCTTCCAAAATCCAAGCACACTCTTGCATTGGGAAACACCTAGCCTATAAAGTGAAACCTATTTTCACATGTAGGTAAATGTATTTTCATTTAACAGCAGAGCTCTCAGATAAACAAAGCATGTGGTTCAGGTAGCAAAGTATCAGACATGGGAATATAATGGCAGTTATTATCAGGAAAGGATTGAGGCCTTTGGAGTGAAGCATCTGTTGATAATAGTAAAAAGTAGCATGGAGTTTTTCATTATTAATGGATTAGATGTTTGGGCTGGAAGGAGAAATTCACATTAGTTGGAGTGTTTTTTTTTTTTTGCTACATCAAACTTCTCTCAAGAAGATAGGACAAAATTATCATTTGCCTTATTTTGCTGAGCATGCAAGCTGCAACCCAACACTGCAAGACTTGACAATCTCTGCACAGCACACCAGCAATGCTCCTCTGGGTGACACATCTGCACCAGGTGCTAGCCTTCCAGAGTGACAAAGTAGGTACTGTGCCAGCCACACTGAATAAGACCTAGAACAGTCACTGATGATGGATGTGACTCTCTCACCTCTGCTGTCCATTCTTGGAAATTGGAAGACACCCTTTGGAGGTGATCAGGCTTAACCCTTCCTTTCTCTCTGAATGGGCACCATGTGGCCTGTGCACCACATGAGGCCTGTTGATGTGTGGCGGTGATTGATTGATGGTGAATGACTGACTGCTGCCTGGCCTGATTTCAGGAAGATGAGCTGTCATTCGAGGCTGGAGACTTGCTGTATGTGAAGGAGCCTTCCGCCGACCAGGTGTGGTGGACAGCGAGCTGTGGCACCAAAACCGGCCTGGTGCCATACAATTATGGTACGTGTATTTATTGTTCATTATCACTTCGTCATCTTTTGGGGCGACAAATGAGCGAGCGCGAGTGAGCCTGTGGTGAAGTGGGGAGCGTGAGAGGCACATCGAAATGACTTTGCGACTGGTGCCTTATGGTCTACCAAATTTAAGTGTGATAGGATCAGCCATTCTCAAGATGTGGAAGCAGTCTCCTTCACGTGCGTGTGTGCTAACTGGGTGCAAACTGACTTTTGCACGGCACTCACTCATGTCTAATCACTGGTCGCTAAGGGTCAAGGGGTGTACCAAAGCTGAGTCGCCATCGGCCTAGCCGTTCTCGAGATGTGGAATCGACCCCTCCACGTGCGTACGTGCCGTATCGCCCGACGGTGACTCGAGGAAAATGCATCGCCCGGTAAGGAAAAAAGCAGGAGAGCTCGGTGGTATGGTGTGGGCTATCGGCTCTGTGCGTAACTATGACGTTGTATCCGGCAGTGGAGGAGCGCTCCGAGCCCTTGGAGAGTCCGCTGCACGAGGCGGCCAAGCGGGGCCACCTGAGCTTCCTGCAGGACTGTCTGCGCCACCGGGTGTCGGTGAACGGCCTGGACAAGGCCGGTAACACGGCGCTGCACTGGGCGGCGCGCGGAGGCCACCTGGAGTGCGCTGAGGCGCTGCTGGCCGTCCCCACCGTCTGCGTCAACGTGCAGGTCAGTAGACTAGCAGCAGACGCGGGTTGTGGCATTTCTTAGAGCTTAAGCTGCTGCTACATGAATATATCGCTACGCGTCATTCGTCCGCCTATCAAGCTGATATCTGTTTTCCTGTGACGCTGGCAGAACAAACTGGGCGACACGGCGCTCCACCTGGCCGCCTGGCGCGGTCAGGCCGAAATGGTGTCACTGCTGCTGCGCCACGGGGCCGACCAGAGCGTCTGTAACGGCCAGCAGCAGCGGCCGGCCGACCTGGCGCAGTCGGCCAGCTGCGCGGCGCTGCTCCGACCCAGGTCCTGCACCGACGACGACTACGGAGTCGAGTCCGACTCGGACTGACGCACAGTGTGACCTTTATCTCGCAATCGTGGACCAAATGAGCTTATCGTTTATCTTATGCGGTTCGTGCTAGCTGTGCACAAGCATGGCGTTGATGCGACGGAGATTTAGTATAGGTTCTGTGAAGGCTCTGCTTTGAGGCCGTGGTGCTAGCGTGACAAGAACTGTACTGCACATTACATAATCATATATTCCATCTTGTCGTGATACGAAAGTCGCCTCCTGCTTGCTTCGTGAGTCTTCAAATAGGCATGCGCCATTTAACAACGAAAGTCACGATAACTAGTCATCGACTGAGAAAAAAAACACAGGGTTTCTTCCAACTCTTGCCGTTCGGGAGAGTAAAGACACATCGCTCGCACATCCGTTATTCAGCGTCAACACCTTTGTCAACACATCATTGAGGTGCAAATTGATTTTTGTAGCGAATCTGAGTTTCACTTGTTCAGAATTATTCCTGTTATCTACAATATTGTGCTGATTTTGTCCTAGCCAGACCGGATCTCTTTTATCTCCACCTTTGTTTCACATAGCGCTGGGCTTTTCCCCAGAAGAAAAGAAGACGTCGCTTGATGCCACTGTCAGTCAATTTATTTTGCAGCAATCTTTTTTTTTCAATCTTTTATAATCCTATTGATCTGAAGTCAGTTTTACCGACAGAAAAATCGGCGACTGCCGGTATTTTTACTTAAAGAGCCTCCCACTAGTTTTACCAGCCACGCAAAAAAAAAAAAAAAAACGCCGATGTGACAGCATCGGTGAATTTGGCTCATACTAATTGTTCACAGCGGTTTTTTCCCGTGTGGCTGGTAGAATTCGGGGCGACTTCTAGTCGCAGCCGGTGATTTTTCAAACTGGGCTCAAGCCAAGATTCTTGATTTGGCAAAAAAAATGCATGTATTGTTGCGTTATCCGGTATGGTTTTGGCGGTCCAAGAGATTTGGTTTTCCAAATTTTAAATGATTATGCGCCCTCAGATTATCGGATGATGAATATGTATGTGCCTACGAATCATTCCAATTTTTCCAAATGTCACCGTGCTACGCATTTTGCTAGTGATCCCAAGTAAAGTTCAATGTGAACATTATGCCGAACTCTGGATGCATTGTGCCTACTGCTCCAATGAAACGATAGATGCAACTGGCTAATAAATGATCTACGTACCTGCGCTTTATTTTATTTTGTCCACAAACGCAGTGGCACTAAAATAAGATGACCAAGATGCCTAGATAGTAGATACACGTCCCTTTGCCGTTCCCTTTCAAGGAGAGTGCCGCCCTCCAGATGCGCCCTCCAATTCTGACGTTTTTTTTTTTGCGATAGCTCAGAACGTGCTCGCGCCTCGCTAGCTATGGAGAGCTAAATATTTGGCACAAGCTGGTCTTCGCCAAACAAAAAGAATGAATTCGGAAGCTCCTGATCATGACAAAAACGATCGTACGATAGGCCCGCACGGCGCACAACTCTGACCATTTTTGGCGAATTTATTCACCTAAACCGAACCCTAGACTCTGTAGAGATTACCGGACTACCGGTTGACCTGAGACTTGAAATCGGGTAGCGGTCGCTGTGTCTGATCCAAATGGCGTGTACGATTGTTACTTTCCTCGAGGCTCTAGCTCAATGTAAGGGATGGAACGGCGAGGTTAGAGCGGCTGCACTTCATTCTAACACCTCCACGTGCGGCCGGCCGGCTGCGGTGGAGGGGTACCTACCTAGTACCTATGTAAAAAAAGAAAATTGGTCCTGCGGTTGATTGCATATTGATAACTAATATTGATATTGCATGTTGATGCATATTGATTGCATTGAAGTATGCCTGTTTTCTTTTTTCTTTTTATCGGAACACAAAGCCGTCTGATCTGTCTGATGTCTGCACTCGGGAGCCGCCTCTGTCTGCCGCTACACTCCTGCGATTTGGAGAACGCCATTTTTCTTTTTCTTACGACTTACGGCGAATCGATGCATTCTTGCTCGGATCAATTCGAGTCCTTGCTGGGAAAGTTTTGGGACTTGTTGAAATATCTGAAGAGTTTCTTAGTAATTAGCATTTTCCCTACTCATCGCGTTGCTGAGCAGTGAGCACTACGGTGCGTCGAATGATGGAGCTTTGTTGGAATCGTTCCAGTAGTTTCGGAGCGTAGCCTCGTCTACCTACACCAGTGCACGGTCTGCACCAAGGTCTGCACCACGTTTGCACTTGTCTGCACGTCAAGGGGGCTGGTGGTTTTGGACCGATTCCGATTCGATCTTATTGGTTCAATGAGGGTGGATTAATTGACAGAAACGAAAAACCATACTTTTCAAAATTACCAACTTTATATCGAACCGTGAAGTAATGATGAAAATTGAAAATCGGTGTCCGATGTCCCCGATTGTCACGTTTGCTTTTTAGCATCCCAATGCTGTCTGCGCTTTAGACAGAACAATATGAAAACCTTGAATTGTTTGTCATTTCTGGGTGTGATTAAAAAACGTGCCATGCAGCTAGGGGCAATCGGGGCAATAATGCGCCAGAAACGTGTATTAGGGGATTATACCTATTGAATTTATGTATATATTGGTTGTTACCAAGGCTATACAAACCGTTGTTACCTACATTGAGCACGGCTGTCCATTTTAAATGGTTGAAATTTCCAGTGTTACAGGGTAAAATGTGCCAGCTAACTCGGTATAAATGTTACAAGTGAAGCCAGTTGAGCCAGGGTAGCTTAACTTAAAGGGGGAAGGGGAATTCCCCCTTCAAAAAAATCCACTCCCCTTTCAATTTTTGTCTGAATGGCTAGGAAGGGAAGGGGAATATTCGCTATTCAGATTCTATACTATCTATAGTCATCTTTAATCAGATTCTAGTCATTAATCCAATCCGTAAAATTACAGAAAGAGTCTGATTCACTTTTCAGACATAAATTTTGCACATTCTTACACTATTTGACATCCTGAATCCAGATATGATACTTACATGTGGTGGAAATATGCAAAACACCAAAAAAGCCAACCGTCACACCCCATTCACATCACACAAGCCAGACACGTGCACACCCGGCGCTAATGAAACGATAAACGCCGCCATATTAAAAATATTTGCTGCCATTTCCAGTAAAACAGTTAAGCAATGTATGTTATGGAAGTGACATCAAAATAAAAACGGAAAATTTGTGGTATATGGGAAAGAGAACACCATTTTCAATCAATTTCAAAACGATCAGGGGCGAAACGGCAATGGGGAAGGCCCAACGGACCCCCCTTATACGTTCGCGGCTGGAAAAACACCAATACGGGCTAGGGTTAAATCTTCATCAGAGACTCCTCTTTTACTAGCCAATATGGGAGGGCATTCCAACTGTAGTTTACTAGATGTGAGTAAAGGAGCTTGTCCTTGCATCTGTTGTAAGACTATAGCTAGTTCTTATCTGCTTGCTATGCCAGCTCATTTTGTTGTCAACCTCCAAATCCCTGTTTGGAGGAGTTCCTGCAGACATCAGTAGAAGTTACCCAAAAGTGAAACCCCCTCTCCTGAGCTGAGTGCATTGTTATGTCTTCAGCAATGGAATCATGAATTGGTGGGATGCATTCTTTCCTGCCTTTGCTGCTCCCACATTTAGTCGAAATCTGAAGGTGAATCTGGCATAGAGTTTGAGGGTTATTGGTCAAAATAACTGGGGAAGAGCTTATGAATTGTTTTGTCATAGCATGATCAGCAAATCATAGCCATGTTTTGCTTTACAGGTGAATTGCCTTCAACAACACGCTCAAATGTCAAGCTGCAGCTGTCAGGTATGATCATATTTAATGTCTGCAGCTCTCAGTAAGTTACTGAGTGGGTACTTCACCAGAAACAGCCTTACACCAAACAGCTTGAGGCCTCCTGTGGCCCGTGAATAGACCTGAACCAAGCTTAGAGAGGTCTGTGGAATACTTTGACTGATTTGTAGTGAAGATTCATCTGTTGTTATCCAGCTTTTATGCACTCATCCACAGCTTGTGATGCTAAATGCAATGTAGAGATTGTAGGATGTAAAGTTGATTCTTTAATGCTGTAGTGTCCTGGTTGTGTGCCGGCAGATTAACCAGCATGAGTTGTGTGCAGATAAGCTGTGGTGTCCTGGCCATGTGCCGGCAGATTTACCAGTATGAGTCGTAGGCAGCTAAGCTGCAGTGACCTGGTCGTGTGTCAGCAGGTTGACCAGGATGAGTGAGACGCCCAGTCGAGCGGGAAGTGCCGACACGGATGAGTTTGTGATACTCAGTGAGACCTCGGAGAGCGGGCCGCGTCTCAGCGTTCCCGGTCCGGGCGGGCTGCCGCAGCTGCAGAGGACCCTGCTCGAGTGTCTGGGTGACGGCATGGAGTCGGCCGGCGGCGACACGCTGGCTGGTGGCGACGGACCGGCGTCGGCGGCCTCTCAGGACACGGCGCCGCCGTCAGAGGGGACGGCCAGCCCTCCCTGCTCGCCGACCGGCCCTGACCGGGCTGAACCCGCCGACTCGGCCAAACCGGCGCCAGGTAACGGCTGCTGCCCCACTCTGTCTCTCACTCTCCTCTTTCTCTCTTGCTCTCCTCTCTCCACTCTCCTATCTCCTCTCTCCTCTCTCTCGCTCTCGCTTTCGCTCTCTATACAAAATGTCACCCGGAACCCCATTTGTAATGGCGCTAGAAAGAAAACTTGACAAATATTTCACTGTCACTACAGGGTAGCGTCGAAACTTTTATCTTTGTTCGTCCCGTTGCAGGCTCGCCGGTCAGTGTTGGTGCCACTGAGGGCAGTGCCGGTGAGGACGTGCTGGAGGACCACTGCACCTTCCACCGCGTACAATACCTGGGCGCGGCCAGCATCAACGCGCCGCGTAGCGAGACCGAGATTCAGCGCAACATGGCCATTCTGAATGCGGAGGAGGCCAGTCGGCAGGCCATCGCCGTTTCGGTGGCTGTGCCGACCACGCCGCAGGGCAGCGTCATGTGAGTCAACGCCGCCGCCGCGGGCGCTGAGCGGCTGTCTACGACGGATAGGGCTCACTGGTAGAGGTGTGACAATATTTGGCGTAGTTGTTAGCTTAGTGCCATCAGAAGAGTGTGCATATTGTTAAGGAAAAATTCATGTTTGACTGGGACCTGATATCCCTGAAAAGGATAACATTTTAAGCTGTTGAGTTGCCTTTATCTTCGTACACCGGGTCCGTTACAGACTGAGGGCGACGTCTGGAATTGGGATAAACTTTGATGATGCTTTCGTTTTTTTAATGGAAGTGTTTGAACGCCGCTTGTCGCTTCTCGCTCTATCTGTTATGAGCGAGTTGCGAGTATAGCGTAGGGTCCGTGCTGCTCATACTGACCATTTCCCGGTCTGTGACTGCAGCCTGTACGACGAGTCTGCCCAGACGGAGATAGTGTCGTTCCCGGTCTACCGGATCCTGTTCTGCGCCGTCGGCCCGGCCGGCTCCCAGGAGGAGCACTGTTTCGGCTTCACCTGCAGTCGCGGAGAGGCGCAGGAGTCGGCCATCTTCCAGTGTCACGTCTTCAAGTGCTCCGCCCCGCGTGCTGTGAGTCGACCGGCCGGGCGGGGAGGAAAGGACCCCAACGAGCTAGGTCCTTAGGAGTCGTTTGTTCAAGCTGTGCTTTGAACACTTAGGTCGGGGTTTTACACTTGCAAGCGGAGGCCGAGGGCTTAACATGCAAATATACACTATGCACGTATCTGGGCTCTTTGGCCACGTATCGTTAAAGGTGATTTGTTCTGCATGTTTCTGTAATTCCCCTGCTGACTCACGTCTGACGACTATTCCATGCCGTCCCGCAGTCCGGTCGGGTGCTGAGCTGCTTCGCTCGGGCGTTCCGTAAGCAGCCTTCGGGAGTGGCCGGTGGCGAGGACACGGCTCGGCGCCAGCTCAGCTATGACTTCGAGCTGGCCGTGGAGATACAGGAGGAGGATGGGAAGGTGAGTGATTACGACTACAGCTTGGGCTTGGAAGCTGATTACATTATGAGCGTTGAGGATCTAGAGAAAATGGCGCTGGTGCCTGACAACATCTGACCGATGATTTGATCGGTAGATTCAAGGCTTGAACGGAGTCGAACATGTAACAATCAGGACCCTCTGTTTTCTTTCTTTTTGTTTTGCATTTTTATTGATAATTCGTTTTAAGATTAACATGATGCTACAGTTACGATC